TATTATGCAGAATATATTGAGAAAAATGGTAAACTAACTAAAAGTGCTAACAAAATTTCTTAGGAAGTTATCGATATACCTAATTATTAGAAGCTGTAACAAATGTTCAAAGAGTCAGAGTATACTTTATTAGAAGTGTGTTAGATAGAATTATACACTTTAAAGAAAATATCTTTTATTATTGCAGGTAATGCATATTGTGTAATGCATATAATATGTGAAATCTATTATTACATACAAAGATTGAAAATTATTTAAACAGCTACCTGTATGTTGTCTCACAAATCTTACATTTAGTGAATGGGTTATTAAAAATTGAACATATTTACACACAGAATATTGTGGATATGGATATCTGGAAAGCATGTGATAACCATTTTATTTTTAGGATTTTGAAATGATTACATAAATATACTAACAACAAATTGCAATGCATCTGTATATTAGAGACAAAGATGAAAGAGAGTAACAAGAATATATGTATTCAAAAGAAAAATATCAAGACCATTTGTAGTAATTAAAATAAAGAATAAAATACATAAAATGTACCATATGATCGAAAAAACGGCGTCTAGTTGGCTGGGAAATGACAATCAATGACATTTCCTATATAAATTTACATATAAATGACAGCGACCTTCATTTCATAGCCATCGTTGACGCTGTTTTTCTCGATCATACGGTAGTTTATGTGTGAACAAATTCTCATTTCATATAAAAATTGGAGCTCTATCTAGAGAGTATATTTGAATATAAATGTTTTATGTATTGAAGGGGACTGTAGTTTTCAAATATAATAAAGAAAATAGACTAAAAAACATGTGTGTAAGTTCTTTTTAAACTATTCTGTAGTTACGTAAATGTGTTTCAAATAGGTTGCTTTTCACACAAAGTCAATACACAGTAATTATGCTTTTACTTTTTTCAAAACACACTCTTGTTTTTTATTATCAGAGAGTTATTAATATTAGAAAATTTAGTTACATGAATATAATAGAGTAAATATTATGTTTCAAGTTTCAAATAATTAGGATATGATATGAGTCATAATAGCTTAAATATGATTGCTAATAAAAATACCTAGTTTATACACAATACTTAGATATATCTCTTTAAATATAAATTAGTATTGCCACCATGTGATTAATGGGAAATACATGGTCGTGAGAAAAATGGCGTCAGCGATGGCTATGTGATAAAGATCGCTGTCAATTTATGTGTAAAATTTTATGGAGAATGTCACCGACCGTTATTTTCAAGCCATTCTGACGCCGTTTTTTCGACCATACGGTATTTCTAGGTATGGAATTATGTCTCTAATATGTAGTTAGGGTAATTTTTTTCCATTTGCCTATTGTTAATTATAACGTCGTCAAACTATAAAATTTGCTATATTTTTTACTTAAATTTTTTACTAATATCAGAACATGCTTTGAATAGTTTAATTAGTAATAAAGCTAACTAACATGTTCAGTTATTTTTTTCTATAAAGCTTTTTTTGATAAAAAAATAAGTATACCTGCTAAGACGTTAAATTGCCTGAGAAATTACGATCGATGCCATTTACCATCCACTTTTTTACACAATAAAAAATGCCATCGATCGTAATTTCAAAAGCAGAAAACTTGCCGCCGTTTTTTTCCAATGAAATGGGCGGTGTGGGGAGAAAATTACAGATTCCTGTGTATTATATTAACGACATTATTAATCGCATGTACACAAAGCATGTACATTCTATTAGAAATCGATCTAATTTCTAATATTGTCGAGCTTTTAAAATTCGAGAAAGTGATCGGAGATTGTGTTTAAAGTGTTGTGAAATGTTCGTTAGTGCATATTTTTGTGTCGGTAATCGGTATCGGTATAGGCAAATTGCGATGGAGTATACAAATTCGAAGAAGGTGGATATGTTAAGAGCATAGGTACTTTCTGACAGGGGAAAGCGCTGTAGAAGCTCGGAGACTTATTCCGAAGAGTATCCGAATAGATAAATCCCTAATGCTCAAACCTTTGTAAGTATGGTTCAGCATTTGAGGGATTCGGGAAAGCAACGAAGAATTGCTGCAAAACGTTAAAAATTCCATGCTCAGAAGAAGGAGAGCATGTATTGAAATGGAGGTCGTCATGAACAATTATTGTAATAGCATGCAGTCAAGAAGCGAAGGGTATACCGGGTGGTGCATCCTTGGAAATATATTATATCCATGCAAATTTTGAACTGTCGAGATATTGGATCCCCTTTTGTGCAAATTAGTAATGTATCTTTAAAACCATTTACGATTTAGCAAAATTAATAGGGAGAGCCAATATTTTCACAGTTGAAAATTTGTATAGTGTTGTTAAGAATTGTAGTGAAGTGATGTTATTAAGTGTAGTTTTAGTGCTTTAGTGTAGTTTAAGTGTAGTTATGTGCAGTTTTAAGAGTGGTAAAATGGAAAAAAGAAAGCTCTGCAGTTGTATCTCTGCTATAGGGATATCTTTTTATTGTTTGGCAAGTTTTTTCTCTTTAGTTTAATTTGTGTAATGTGGAAAGTAGGGCTACTGGCGATCACCCACTTAAAAAAAGTAACGCACCTCTGCAGAACCTCTTGGTTGGTGTGGATTTTGCAAGTACTTTTAAGTCTTTTCTAGTCGATGTGGCAACAGCGGGCGGCGAATGAAGCCGAGATCCGCGAGATTCCCCGGCGGCTCTCAAAATGTCGCAATTTTTTTTAACTTTCAAAGTTAAATAACTCGGTTATTTTCAATCTATTTTAAAAAATGGTAAAGAGAAAATATGTTTCTTTTGGCCAGATCTACCACCCCTTAAAATATCTGCACTCATTTCTGGGACACCCTGTATATATATATATATATATATATATATATATATATATATATATATATATATATATATATATATATAACCATATATATATATATATATATATATATATATATATATATATATATATATATATATATATATATATATATATATATATATACAGGATTTTGATTAGACATTGGTTGTCCATTAATCAAACGCATGCAGCTACTGCTGCTTTCCCGTTCGCCTTCGCCAAACCTCTCTATCAAATGCGCATCCAGCTCTCCAGCCTCTGGATGCCATCGCATGCCTAATTGTGTTGTTCCACGACCTTCTTGGTCTACCTCGCTTTCTTCTTTGTGGAGGACTCCACTGAAACAGACGTTTCGGCCATCGACCTTCCGGCATTCTTAATAGATGGCCAAACCACTTGAGACCCTGTCTATAATTGTCTCTGGAGCATTCATTCGGTGTCTAATCTCTATGTTGGTAATTCGGTCCATTTTCGATACACCTGCGCTCCTTCTGAGATAGTCCATTTCGACTGCTGTAAGTCTCCGTTTCATTTCGGCTGTTAGAGCCCATACTTCGCAACCATAGCACACCACAGATTCCACCAAGATTTGTCCCAGCCGTTTTTTGGTTCTAAGAGAGAGATGCTGATCCCACCACAATGAATTCAAGCATCCCACTACTCTCTTGCCAGCTTGAATGCGGAGTTTAATTTCGTCCTCTCCAATGCCCTGTTTAGTCACGATTGACCCTAAATATTTATTAAATTTGAAGTTGTTGACTTGTGTGACCTGAGTATCATCGGTAATCAGAACTTCAAAGGCCGCTTCACTATTGACTACTAGATATTCTGTTTTTTAAGACTTACTTGTAGACCCCACTTCTCATATTGTACATAGAGTCTTCTCATCATATATTCAAGGTCAAACGCATCCTGCTCAAGCACCACCTGGTCGTCAGCAAAATTTAAAGTGAACAATTTTTGTGCGCCTATAGGAATACCCATAGGTTCACATTGTCTTTTCCATTCTTCTAGCGCGACTTCTACATAGGCGTTGAAAAGCAAAGGGGAGAGACTGCAGCCCTGTCTGAGACCCTTTGTGGTTAGTATAGGTTCAGACAGTCGATTTCCTACTTTTATGAGCGATACATTATTATTGTACAGTTGTTTAATTATTTCCAGTCTAGCCGTTCGAGGGCCTTCCACAATTTTTGACGGGGTATTGTATCGTAGGCTTTTTCAAGATCTACAAAAGCCAAGTGAACTTCCTGTTCTACGGATATTTGTTTTTCCAGAAGCTGCTGAAGTATGAAAAGGTTGTCAACACAAGATCTGCCCGGTCTAAATCCACTTTGGTCCTCTCCAATTTTATGGCCAACATTTGCTCTAAGTTTGGATTGTAGAATTTTACTAAACAACCTGCCCATCGTACAATTCACACTTAGTCCTCTGTAGCATCCAGGGTCTCTCCGATTTCCCTTTTTGAATATGGATACTAAATGAGAGGTTTTCCATTCTTGGGGTATTCTATTGATTGCTAGGCACTTCTTCATAAGGGCTACCAAACGTTCGATCAGAGCGTAGCCCCCGCATTTTAGTAGCTCAGCTGGGATATTACCTGGACCTGGAGATCTTTTATTTTTCATCTTATTAAGTTCTTTTTTTACTTGTGGTGAGTCAACATGCATGAGTATACTAAAAGAATGAAAAATGGACTGGAGAGACTCCTTAGCTGCACACACACTGGAAAAGTCAATATTCAGATCGCCACACAAAATTAATTTACTTTTTATAGGTAGGGATTCAAGCAAGCTTAGCAATTTTTGACTGAAAATATGTACGTCAGCGTCAGGTGTTCTGTAAATACAAATAATATAGAGGTCAAAAGCATTATGATAAACGACGGAAAATTCAAAAATGTTTTCGGATATCAGAGTATCGAACTTAGTTACTGCCGAAAAGTCGTTGTTAGTAGACATTATCATAGTACCTCCATGAGATGAGTTACTTCTATCGAATCTAGTTAATGTAGTGTATTTTTTGACAAATACAGGCTCATCCATATTTAACCAATGTTCAGTTATGGCATCAATTTCTGGAAAATTGAGCTCTTCTAATAAAAGATATAATTCATCCGTTTTATGTCGTAAGGACTGAATATTAATTAAAAAAACACTAAGCTTGCTATCGAATTTTTACTTGTGCCACTGATATATTTAGTTTTGTTTCTAGATGTTCTTCTATATTGGCTGAGTCTTCTGCTATGTCCTCTGGCCTACTTTCAATTAATAGTGCCTTGTAGTGGGATGTCCAGGTTTTTAGGTCAATCCATGTGTTGTTCCTTACCTTTGTATCTGATTTTAGTTCTCTAATAGTTCTCCAGACTTCTGTGCTCTGGGCACCTCCTATCATGCTCTCAATCTCCACGCATTTGTTTTCCCAAGTTCTGTTTTTTTTCTTGTTTTATTGCTTGTCTGACTTCGTTGTTTCTAAGTTTGTATTGATACCTGTTCTCCGTTGTCCTGTTTGTAAGCCAGTTGTTATAAGCCTTATGTTTTTCTGTTATTAAGTATTTAATTTCGTCAGTGAGCCACGACGGTTTCCTTTTTACGTGTTTTCCAGCTTCGTATCCCAAAGCTTCATGTGCCGCTTGATATAATGCTTTTTTGATGTTTTCATGTTCCGTATCATTATAATAGTTACCTGTTGATGATAATAGATGATAATAGTTACCTGTTGAAAAATAAAGGAGTTATGCAAAATTCATTCTTATATTCAGTACAAAGATGGACTTATTCAAATTTCACATAATAAAACAACGCTAGTATTTACCTACCTAAAGGAGGGTCCACATTTAGTAACATGTTATATAACATTGCTATATAACAAGCTACATGTAACATGTTAAAAAACCTGGCGACGTCCACATTATAGTTTTAGTAATCATGAATTGTTTTGGCGAGAAAGATGCTCTGCTCGCAGCAGCGGCGTGCGTAATTATTTTTGAAGAAAGTGAAAGAAAATCGAGAAAAAGGCGGTTTTGGGTCCGCCATAGCCTACAAGCAAGGTCTATATATAGTGGAACTCATCTATTAGAAGATCTAAAAAAGGATGATTGCGCCCCTCTGAATTGGGGATTAGAATACAAGGGGAGTTTCAAAAATTTTTGTAGGATGAGTAGTTCTGACTTTGAGCACCTGATAAATCTAATTGGTCCAAAGATTCAAAAATCTGACACACGATTTAGGGATGCAGTACCTGTTGTAGAACGGCTAGCAATAACGTTACGGTTTTTGGCGACTGGAGACTCCTATCAAAGTCTAATGTACTTATTTAAAGTTTCTAAACAACTTATATCACTTATTGTGCCTGAAGTATGTGATGCACTAATAGAATGTTTACAAGAGAATGTTAAGGTATGTAAATCATAAATTTCAGATTAAATTAGTAATTATAAAATAGTTAGTTAATATCGACCGTTACTTTTTCATTTCTGAAGCGAAACTTCTTAGGCGGCTATTCGATAATTGGACGATAATTGATAATTAAATTTGATGGAGGCGTCACGTTTACGCATAACAGAGGGAGAAAGAGCTATAGGTATATCTATACAGAGTTTTATTTCTTTTTCAGTTACCTACAACGGCAGAAGAGTGGCAGGGTATTGCTACAGATTTTTATCGACAATGGAATTTTCCAAACTGCCTCGGTTCCATGGATGGAAAACACGTTATGTTACAAGCCCCTTTTGGAAGTGGAACGGAATACTTTAATTATAAGGGCTTTTTCAGCATTGTTCTTTTCGGAGTAGTTGATGCAAATTATTGTTTTATTTTTGTGAATGCTGGATGTCAAGGCCGAATTTCCGATGGCGGTGTATTTGCAAATACTACTTTAAAATCATTAATTGCAAAAAATGACTTGAATTTGCCTGAAGCCAGTCCATTGCCTGGAAGATCAAATCCTGTACCTTACGCTTTCATAGGCGATGACGCTTTCACACTACAGCCACATCTTCTAAAACCATATGCAGGTCTGCACGATAGAGGTTCAGGTGAAAGAATTTTCAACTATCGCATCAGTCGTGCTCGTAGGATAGTGGAAAATGCATTTGGTATTATATCCTCCGTATTTAGGGTATTAAGAAAGCCAATGCTTATTGAACCAAATAAAGCAACAAAAGTCGTGTTGGCTTGTGTGCATTTACACAATTTTCTAAAAAGGAGCTCTACATCAAAAAATATTTACACACCTCCTGGGACGTTCGACACAGAAGATTTTGAAAGTGGAACAATGATATCGGGGCAATGGAGGGTAGATCAAACGAATATGACTTCATTATTTCCGTTACGTAAAGTACCAAGGAAAGCATCAGCAAGTGCTTATGAGATAAGAGATGAATTTCGTGATTTTTTTCTAACAAGCCAGGGCAAAGTCGCATGGCAAGATAAATATTGAAGTTTAAACAGTTTTGATTGGTTAAATAAAAATATTTGAAGTTCAGTTATATAGTTTTATTTAAATTCAAATGATAATTATAATAATTATGATTACAAATAACGATATAAATGATAATAAAAATAAAATAAACCTAATCCTAGTAATACAAAAGTAGTCGTTTGTCTTTACGTCTCCAGATTGTCTTTACAAGAGGAAAAACTTTTTTATTATTGACGTTTTGAAAAAAACTGCAATCTTCATAACAATTTTTGCTTGTTCGAAAATGGCTAGTCCGGTTTATACTTTTCCAAATTTCCATACCGTTTTAGAGAAAATTAAGAAAAACATGAAAATATGGTTGAATTTTGCAAGTCCTAAAAATTAAAAGGCGTTTCTATGGTAATATAACTTCATTTTCATTCATTGATATAATGTTATATGTTTTGTGATTGTTATTGATAGAATTTTAATTAACGTCACGTTTTTTGCTGTTTTAAAATATTAAAGAAGCACAAAATTTATTTAGTTCAATGCTACGAAAAAACAGTTACCAGAAAATGTGATACTTCATCAACGGCAAAAAATATAACGTTAATCAAAATTAATAATAAGCATCTATCAAAGAATGAAATCTAAATTATATTAGCATAGAAACGCGTTTTGATTTTTAGGACTTTCAATTTTTAGAAAAAAAATCAACCTTATTTTCACGTTTTTTAATTTCTCTAAAACGGTATGAAAATTTGAAAAACTAGAAACGGGATTAACCATTTTAGAATAAGCAAATGTTTTTATAAAAAATGCATTTTTCTCAAAATATCAATAATAAAAAGGTTTTTCCTATTGTAAAGACAATCCGGGGACCTACAGTAGAACAAGCGTTGAAAACAGTAGTAGGCCAAAATAAGTGGTTAGAATTATTCTTGGTTAAAGGCCGCGAAATATTGAGAGGCTGAGATAGATGAGGGTGATGCAGGCTGAGAAGATTCGCCTCGAATACTGGAGCCTTCCGGTTGATATTGATGCTGAATAATAGGAGAGGTAGGCTGAGAAGATTGATATTGAACATGAGCGGATACAGCTGGGTTAGAACATGCGTTTTCAAAATAAGATGAGGATGAATTGGATGTAGATGTATGTATATATAAGGGAGAATATCCGGATGTCTCACTTTTTTGTAATGTTTGCAATGCAGGAGTCTGGCATACATTTTTATTATAGACAATTGGGAAATTGCTTATATTACTATTCGGATCTTGATTTCTTTCATCGTTGTTCTGTACTAAACTTTGTCTGTGTCTTTGTTTTGCTATTAGAACTAAACGATCTATTTCCAACATAGTATTATCTCTGGTGATTTCGTCCAGCTCTTTTAACTTCTTGGCTAAAAGCTCTCCATATATGTCGCATACATCCCTCTTCGCGTTTTCTTTTATTGACTTTAACACAGCATAAGCCTCATCAGACCGTGTACTTGTTATTTCGCGCCTTGCTCGCTTTTTTGCAGGGGTTCGTGTGGATATTGATGGCGAATCTATGGTATATACTGAAATTAATATTAGAATATTTTTTAGAAACGATGTTATAGAAACATTCCATTATTGTTTACCTCCAGGAGACTGCTCCGCTTCGTTGTCATTATTTTGAATTGAAACGTTGTCCAATTGTTCCGTTTCGGTTATCTGAAATCGTAAGTATATGCTCTATTAGTATAACCCGATTTATATTTGAAATGATAGAGTAATTCTACGTTTTCATTTCTATAACTTACAGAAAATAATTTTATTATTTCAAAAAATAGACTTTTATGGTCTGCAGCTCCTATAATAAAAAAAAACTTAGGAATTTTGTTTAAATGCAAACCTAAAGTATGTATTAGGATGTATTTCCGGAAAATATTTTAACTTCTACAGGGTGGCTCAAAAAATTGTAAGTGGATCGGAATATTTTTTTAAATGGAACACCCTGTATATTATTGCATTTTTAGCTTCCTTTCTGATCACTTTACATAAGATAGTATTAAATATGTTTTGAGAGTTTCAGAGATATTAATAAATAAATAAAAAAAATGCTTTTTTCAGCCTTTTTTAAAAAAGTTATTATAAATACAAGAAATGACCAATGACAAATGAATGATGCTATCAAAACTATACTAGGTATTTATTATAGCTGTACTTATTTTGTTATAAATATTGTAATCTTAAACCTTACAGGGTGTCCAAAAATCTATGCCAAACTTTCTAAAATATAAAATTGTTTTTCTTAATTTTTTTAATGAAACATCCTGTATATTATTTTTTTTGTTAGATGGAGAATTAAAAAGTGGCATTTTTGGTATTTAAAGTATTTTAAAAATTTTATTTATAGGAGCTACAGATGTCCGACGCACTTTTGCCGGACCCTGTATGTTGATCAAAAAATAAATGAGTCGTGAACACTTACTTTGTTATAAATATTGTAATCTTAAACCATACAGGGTGTCCAAAAATCTATGCCAAACTTTCTAAAATATGAAATTGTTTTTCTTCATTTTTTTAAATGAAACACCTTGTATATAATTTTTTTTGTTAGATGGAGAATTAAAAAATGGCATTTTTTGTATTTAAACTATTTTAAAAATTTTATTTATAGGAGCTACAGATGGTCCGACGCACTTTTGCCGGACCCTGTATGTTGAACAAAAAATAAATGTGTCGTGAACACTTACTTTGTTATAAATATTGTAATCTTAAACTATACAGGGTGTCCAAAAATCTATGCCAAACTTTCTAAAATATAAAATTGTTTTTCTTCATTTTTTTAAATGAAACACCCTGTATATTTTTTTTTGTTAGATGGAGACTTAAAAAGTAGCATATTTCTATTTAAAGTATTTTAAAAATTTTATTTATAGGAGCTACAGATGTCCGACGCACTTTTGCCGGACCCTGTATGATGAACAAAAAATAAATGAGTCGTGAACAAAAATTATTTTTTCACAAATTAACTTACCTTTTCAATACCTGCCTCGGCTGTTTCCCGTGGCGTGTTTTTGTCCTTTAAAAATGTTAATAATTTAAACGCAAACCATTTTGAGTTGTACACTTCATCTAAACCAGCTCCAGATTTGCATTTTTTTTGTTCCCTCTGGAACTGGGGCCTATTAAACAACGCATTTTTTTTCGACTTCTTCTCTTTCCAAATTCATAATTTTTGAAATTTTTACCCATGCATCGTGCTTTTTTTGTTTGATTTTAAATGAGGGGCTGCGGATGTCCCACAATACTGTATTATCTCTATACAAGTCAATAAGTTGACAAGTCTGCTCTTTGGTCCACTCCATTAATAGTAATAATTAATAATAAATATTACTGACCAGTACATAAACAACCCAATCGACTCACCACACTAAAATTCTGTCGCGCACGTCTCTGAAAATATGAGCGGCTAAACTAGAAATTTAGCAAGTCTGGACGCCTTGTAACATGTTACAATAGCAGTGTCGCATAACATCTTTTGATCTTTACCGACCACAAATGGATAACATCTAACAAGTTATATAGCATCGAAATTTGCTACATATAACTAAAAAATATGTAACATGTTATATAACTTTGCTATATAGCAGTGTTATATAGCAAGTGTGGACCGTCCTTAAGGCATTAGTTTTATTAAATCGAAAATAACTACCAATAAAACATTAAAGAACTTGGAAGATAATAGTACACAACTTATTAGAAAATAATAATCAAATGGGTAAGTCTAATGGTACTAGGGATGGGTAAATTTCATTTTTCACCTTATGTTGAAATTTCATAATTAAATTTTCACTGAAAGATTGAAATTTTGGAAATTTCAGTGAAAATTTCAAAATTTCAAATTTTCAGTGAAAATTTCATAAATTTCCTGAAATATTGACAATTAAATATTTCACCTTGGAAATTTCATTGAAATTTCATGAAAATTACAATTTTGTTTTAAATTCCAAAAATGTTTTTCTAAACGAATTGCAGTTTTATAATGAATTTCATTGCAAAATATGCACTTTACTTTTTTGGTATTATTTTGATCATTAGAGAAATATTTCCAAATAACTATTTTTGGGCTTAACCATTATTTCTATAAAAATTGGAATCAACACAGAATAACAGATCACAGGTAGGTAAACAGGTCACAGAATAAAGTTTATGAAATGTGAAACACAAAAAATGCACAAAAATAACAAATCTAATAATACATCAACATTTTCAACGGAAATCATAACCTCTATCTATCTACATCTACTGCGGTTTTTCATTTGTCAATGTCAAGCGCCGGTCCTCTTCAGACGCGCAAGTAAATTGAGCAAATCAACGATCGATACTTACGTCGATACGGTCCAAGGTTATTAAAAGGTAAGGTTGTCTCGTAAATTTTTCGACCAATAGGAACGAAGCGGAATAGCATCCCTGTGACGTAGATAGAACGTATAAAATCATAGATAAAAGGAATAGAAAATAAAATGCAACCGACAAAGAGAGATAAATCGACAATACAATAAAGAAAACACACATCAAACAACTGAAAACTATTGACGCCATACACTATAAACAATAAAGTACACAATGAATATCGATTTGGAAATGCACTGTCGGACTGTGGGCAGTTTTTATCCCTTTATCTATGAGCGGTATCATTCCTATGATGTAGTAGATGACGTTTTCGATAATGGCGGATCAAGTTACGAGACAACCTTACCTTTTAATAACCTTGGATACGGTCGACATACGAACACGATAAAGGAGTTCGCGAGGTTTATGAAAATTTCACTTGAAATTTCACCTGTAAGTTGAAATTTCACGATACATTTCGGAAAATTTTACCTCTATGCTGAAAAATTCGAATTAAAATTTTCACTTGAAATTTCAATGAAATTTCACTTTTTTAAGATATGAAAATTTCACATTGAAAAAGTTGCCGACATGAAAATTTCATTTGAAATTTTCAAGTGGCACAACCCTAAATGGTACATAAGTTATTCATGTCTTAGATTGTCATAA